ATTCAATAAACGGTCCGATTTTTAAAACATTGGTGCTTTCCCGCACCCCCACACAACACCGCACAAATGCCAAAACAACCTCCCTCCTATAAATCACTCTAAACATTAAATGCCCCTTTCTAAGGTCTAATCCACCTGGCGTCCGCATTGCCATTAATAGCCCAACCATCCCCGTTCCCGGCCGTCGTTGAATTCGATTCTGTTACAAGCCCATTTTCGACAATTCAGTTCAGTGCCCCTTGACGTTATCCATATATCTCTAATTATGTCGCTAATCTTCGTCTAATTATTCACTTGGCCCCACTCACCTAATATTATTAAAGTAAGTGCTGAAACAACACGACTCTAGTCTCCTTCCATTCTTTCTTTTTCATTTTTGTTTCTTTTGGGAGCTGATTTATCATGTACTACTATATATAAAGCCACCGTTTCTTGATTTGTATTCTAGCGTTTACATTTGCCTCTGCGTCCTCTTGCAAGCTCATGTGATCTCTTATTGGGTTGGACTGGATTCCGATGTGCGTGGCCGGGGGCCGGTGATCTTCTGCCCGAGAATCCTGACGTTATATCTATTTCTTGATCGAAATTCAGTATGAGCAGCGTGCATAACAGTGTGGAGACCGTAAATGCCGCTGCAACTGCCATAGTTACTGCTGAGAGTAGAGTTCAACCGCCAACGGTCCAGGTATGCCTCTTTATCGATGCTATATGACGTTATACGTTTGTATATCACCATAATTTTGATCTCTCTCTCTCTTTTTTTTTTTTTTTTTTTTTTAAATCTGATAGAAATAAGCTACTCGTCTTGTAGCTGATGTGGTGGCATATCTTATTTGAATCCATTTTTTTGGGTCCATTTCTTTCTTGATTGCGCTGTGTTACTTAAGTCAGACTGATGAGCGGTCATGTCTTGGATGGGGTGCTTGTGCTTTTGGGTATGGAGTTATAGGTGGGATGCGGATTGAGGATTCTAGTAAGTTAGATTTCAATCTTTTTTGATTTGGAACGTGTTATTTGTCTGCGAGCAAATTTTGACCCAGAGATGAAGATGAAATGAATAATAGAAGTTGTTCTAGTTGGTATACTAGAATTATGCAAAAGCCAGTCATGCAGTGGTTCCATCCACTAAAACCGGGAAAGAAAGACTGGACTGGAGGACTTACTTCTAGCCTTCTTGCTATGCAGAAACTATATCCATCTTTCATCTTGTCCTCATTAGTATGCATCAGTAGTCTTAGGCCTGAATTAGTTGAGGCCTTTCGTGTATGTCAGGCAAGTGCAGGGCAGGCAAAAAGCGTTCTATCTCTCTGCTATTGTAAAGAGTTTGCAAATTTTCAAGATTGTGAATCATTTGGGGCCTTGGTGACTCTAGGGATATGTTATTCAGCAAACTTGAAAGCAGGAAATTGTATTTCAAAGTATGTATTTAGCTGTGCAGTTTGAAAATGAACAAACTCTTCAACTGTACACACAAAACCTGAAAGTTTGTATCATTTGTTTTCGCCCTTCTTTCTACTTAATATATTATTCTTGTTTCGGAAAGAATTTTCCAGTCAGTGCTTTAGCACTATGTTCTTTACTTCTTTTCATGTATGACAAGAGAACATGGCAGCTGCTGTTGCACCTATAAAATGTTTGGTTCAGTTTGTCTTCTGATCTGACTGATATAGTGCATAAACGTTTGAAGGAACCCAAACCAAGCTAAGATTATTTTTTGTCTGTGAATACTTTACATGTCCCGTAGGGTGCTTGAAAGCAATTCAGGATGTTAATGTTGCTTTGATAATCAGGAGTGAAGCTTGCTATCGAGGCTTATTCTTTTCTTCTTTGGTGAAATTGCATTGAAGCTCTTGGAAATCCAGTTGATTTGTCAAAATGTGGCACAGAACATTGCAAAATTATTAGGCTTCTTGATAGCATTTGCATGCTTTTCTAACTGGCCTCCTTTTTTGATTTATTGGAAAATCACTGGTCCAGAGCCAGCAAGATCAGATTGCCTTCAAAACTTGGATACACAGCAATCATGTGAATGAGAAGATCCACTCTCAATTTAGAATTTAAACCTGAAAATTCAGGGTTTTTAAAAACCTGCTCGATTGCTGCTTCATCAGTGGCTAGAAAACATGAAAATCACCCAATAAATTCATGCAGTAGAGTTGCTGCAGTTTTATTGTGCTTCAGATCACCTGTTCATATCTGAAACAGTGTTGCTTGAGAATTTGTTTTTAGTAAGCTAGCCCAGCAGTGCCTTGCTTATGCAGGCTAATTGGTGGCCCAAGATTTGCTGTCTCAGTTGATTTATAGTTCTGAATTTTAATCTTCTCGTGCTTCTTATGGATACTACTTAGAAGAGGTGTTTGAAATGCTGATTTGTTCTTCTTGTAGCTGACAACTACTAGAAAATTTCAGACTGGAAACAATCATTCTGTCTGATTCCCAGAATCCTGATGTATCTTTGGTGAATGATTCAGAGTTCTGCAAAGTGAATTAGTAACTTGATTCTGTAATTTACATTCCTTTCCTTTCTATTTGAATTCAGAAAAGAAGATGGGGAAGCTGCTGGAGCTTTTATTGGTGCTTTGGTTCTGTCAAAAACAGCAAACGCATTGGTAATGCTGTCCTTGTACCTGAACCTACAGTTCCAGGATCAGCTGTTCCTGTACCTGATAATTTGAACCATTCAGCAACCATAGTAATACCCTTCATTGCCCCTCCCTCTTCTCCTGCATCTTTTCTCCAATCAGATCCTCCCTCTGCCACCCAGTCACCTGCAAAATTTCTGCCCCTTGCTTCCTTTTCGGTCAACACATATTCCCCTAGTGGGGCAGCCTCCATATTTGCAATTGGCCCATATGCACATGAGACTCAGTTAGTATCACCACCAGTATTTTCTGCATTTACAACTGAACCATCTACTGCCTCTTTTACACCCCCTCCTGAGCCTGTGCAACTTACAACACCATCATCACCAGAAGTGCCATTTGCTCAGCTTCTTGTTTCATCTTTGACACACAACCGAAGACATAGTGGGACGAGTATCAAGTTCCCGTTGTCTCAGTATGAGTTTCAGCCTTATCAATGCCCCGGAAGCCCTGGCAGCCACCTCATATCACCGGGCTCAGCAATTTCCAATTCTGGCACTTCTTCACCTTTCCCTGAAAAACGCCCTATCATCGAGTTCCGAATTGGGGAAGCTCCCAAGTTTCTTGGCTATGAACTCTTCACACGCAAGTGGGGTTCAAGGGTTGGTTCTGGATCTTTGACACCAAATGGTTGGGGTTCCAGGCTAGGTTCAGGAAGTTTGACGCCAAATGGTGGGATATCAAGGCTAGGTTCTGGAACCTTAACACCAAATGGTGGAGAACCTGCCGCTAGAGATAGTTACCTTTTAGAGAACCAAATTTCTGAGGTGGCATCACTTGCTAACTCGGATAATGGAACTCACAATGAGGAAGGCCTAATGGATCACAGGGTTTCCTTTGAATTGACTGCTGAGCATGTTCCAAATTGTGTGGAGGAAGAGATGGTCATGCAACATGACACTATATGTGAACCTTCAACTGAGAAAGCAATTGAAGCTTCCATTGACACTGATCCGATACCGAAGAAAGGTCAAAATTTTTGTGAAGATTGCACTGGGGACAGTATCCACAATATCACCAGGAAAGCTTTAGATGGACAAGAAGGGAAGCAGTGCCTTAAAAATAATCGTACTTTCTCACTTGGTAAGAGCAAAGATTTCAATTTTGACAACATGAAGCAAGAAAGCCCGGATAAGTCCACCATCGATTGTGAGTGGTGGACAAATGAAACAGCAGCTGCTAAAGAACTAGGTTCCAAGAACAAGTGGACTTTCTTCCCAATGCTCCAGCCTGGTGTCAGCTAATGCTGGCATATACAACAATACATAAGATTCATTTCATCTGAATGCAAGACTGACTTCACTCAGCAACACTTCCAACAATGCTGGTGTATACTTGAGAGCATTTTCGAAGTGTGACATTTGATGAGCCTGTGTTTTGACTATAGGAATGGACTGCACAGCTGTGCCTCAGAGAGTGAAAAGCAATAGATATACTGGCAAGGACGAAAAATAGTTTGTGGTGATTAGTGAGCATTATCTTAAATTCTATTTCGTTCAATGTTGTTTTTTGCAATTTGTACACTGTAAATTAGTTGGATCCATCAATCAATGCACTAAATTCTTTTTACACTTCTATCAATAAGGATATGTTCGTTCCCGGTCTTCATCTTCTCCCATAGTATGCAGTTGTGCTCTTTTCTGTTCTTGGACCTGAATTTAGATTTTCCATATGAAAGGACTTTTTCGCATGTCCAATTGTGTGGAAATTTGGAGTCCTAATTGTGTACTAGTTCTGACTCAACATGGGTATGGCTTGAATACCCAGGTACATTCATGATCTCTGCTGATATATATGGTTCAGCCTTGCATGAAATGAAGAATTTGAGGGCTCATTCAGGGTCCTCCAGCTACAGAAATTCAAGGATTGACTGAAGAGATTACTTGCCGGAGTTTGTGAGGTGATGCCTGGAACTGTAAGAATTGTCAGCACTGAGATTCCAGCTCATGTATAATCAAACCTCGACGCAAAGGTTCAAAATCGATAATAATTCAAGATGTGGTAGGCTCAGGCCATCAGACGGTGACAAGTGGTATATAAAGCTGTCATCAACTGAAAGCTTGAAGAAACTTATTTATTTTTTTAATTTGTACAGTACAATCACCCCCTTGCTGATATTGTATCCAATATTATAAACAGGATTGACTCTTCATTGCAGATATATAATAGAGTTCGTGCAAATGATAACATTACTTGACTACGTGAAACTTGCTTCTTGGGATCATATATCAGCAATAATTATCTGTAAGCAAAGCTATCTTGAAAATGATAGTTTGTCATCTATTACAAGAATATTATAACACCAAAAACATTGCTTGCAGAAAAAAAAAAAAATCACTGGTCGTTTACCAATGGGATTTGTTTCTCCCAAATTCTTGGATTGAACCTGCAAAAGAAACGGTTTCAAAGAAATACTGCAACTGTAAAAGTAAATATTAGCTCCAGCAACAATTTGCATACAATTATTGCAAGAAATGATTCTGCAGTACCTACGAGTAGTAAAAGTAAGTTTGACAGAAAATTTGAGAAAATAAAAAGGAAAGAAGAACGTGGTGATTAGTGATGCTGATTAAGCATGTGGGCATGACTTGTCCCTGCTGATTTACCTCCAGCGATGCAACGCTTAAATTTATGTTTGAGAAAGAGGCTGAATCTACCCGATCCAATAGCCACCAATAAACTCTAAGCTGATACTAGAAAGCAACATGGAGAAAGAAAGATGCTGATACGACCTTTTATATCTAGACTTCTGGGGCTCTATTCAATTTCAGGTCAGTTCCATTTTTGGGTTTGCCAAATGCCAACTGAATTCTGCCTTTTCTTTAATTCTACAACACGGGACATGATTCTGAGCGAGCTTCTCTGATTTTTTTGTTTTATTCAAAGCTATGTTTGACTTGTTATCTTGGTTGAAGAATTTATCTTGCTTGCATCTGTTGGGAGCTTTTTAAATGGGCAATATTTTCTGTTGAAATAGTTGTTTTTTATAGACTGCACTCTTATGACTTCCATTGATCGAGTAATTATAGCTTTCCTGTTTAAAAGCGATTGTCTTTCTAATGATTTTACCATTGGATCATTGTCCAGTGCCGCTAGCTTGAGTGGCTAATGTGGTCTAATGTTTTACAGACGACTGCATTTTTTTTTCCTGGGGAAACTGTGCTGGACTAGAAAGGCTGCTCTACTTGCCATGCCCCCAAAAATCAGGAACTTAAATATGTGGTGAAGGATTTTGTCTAATACCTACTAAGTTGTGAAGCATGGCTATGGCTGCTACAGTTAAAGTGGTTCTTGGCTCCGTTGCCTTCGTTATTTTTTGGGTTCTGGCGGTTTTCCCGGCTGTTCCCTTTCTTCCTATTGGTAGGACTGCGGGGTCTCTTCTTGGGGCTATGCTTATGGTCATCTTCCGAGTTATAACTCCCGATCAAGCCTATGCTGCTATTGATCTTCCAATTCTTGGTCTTCTATTTGGTACAATGGTAGTCAGCGTCTATCTTGAAAGAGCAGACATGTTTAAATACTTGGGCAAGTTGCTTTCATGGAAAAGTATGGGAGCCAAGGACTTACTCTGTCGAATCTGTTTGATATCTGCAATTTCAAGTGCGCTTTTCACTAATGACACATCTTGTGTGGTTTTAACCGAATTTGTACTGAAAATTGCAAGACAACACAATCTTCCACCTCATCCATTTCTGTTAGCCCTAGCCTCCAGTGCAAATATCGGCTCTTCAGCAACTCCAATTGGGAATCCTCAAAACTTAGTTATAGCAGTCCAGAGTGGAATTCGGTTTGGGGATTTTGTAATTGGAATACTCCCTGCAATGCTTGTGGGAGTTGTTTTAAATGCTGTAATCCTTCTTTGTATGTATTGGAGATTGTTGTCGGCCGACAAGGACGAAGAAGACCCTGCATTGGAGGTGGTTGCCGAAGAAGATGTGAGTTCCCACCGTTTTTCGCCGGCAACCATGTCACATCCTACGTCCTTGAATTCTCAGGAATGGAACTCTACATTGGAATCAATGAACATTAGTAGCTCACCTAATAACCATGGTCATAGGAATCATATTGAGACCCTTAGAAGCAGGGCAAATGCAAGTGAGAGCGAAATCCAAAAAGCCCCAAGTGAGGAGCCTAATCCTGCAGGGAACTCAAGTCCTCCAAAAGAGCTTGACAGTGAAACATTTGCACATACAAGGGAGGAAACTGTCCCTTCAAAATGGCTGCCACCCCTGAATGGATTTCAAAATGGGGGCTACACCAGTGAAGGGAAGGAGAAATGGAAAAGAGTACTGTGGAAGACTTGTGTTTATCTCGTTACATTTGGAATGCTAATATCTTTGTTACTGGGTCTGAACATGTCATGGACAGCAATAACAGCAGCACTTGCTCTCGTGGTTCTTGATTTTAAGGATGCCAGGCCATGCTTAGAAAAGGTAATATTTGCTAGAGGTGTCATAGGGAAAGTAGTAAATGGCATTAGCTTGACCACAATGGGTTGTTAATACGTATTCTTTATCATCCAGGTATCATACTCGCTCTTGATATTCTTTTGTGGAATGTTTATCACAGTAGATGGGTTTAACAAAACAGGAATCCCCAGCGCACTGTGGGATCTTATGGAGCCGCATGCTCAGATTAATCACATTGGGGGAATAGCAGTTCTTGCTCTTGTGATCCTTTTGCTGTCAAATTTGGCTTCAAATGTGCCAACAGGTATATATATATTTTGTTTTTCTCCTGATATCTACTCTTTCTTTCAAATGTTAACTGGATGTTTATGACGTGATCGGATAAAGTATATTTTTAGAATTTCATCATTAGACTGGGAAAATTTATTTTTACTGAAGTGAACAATCTTGTTTTCCTGGTATGATATCCAATCTGGTTGTCCCAGATATCAGACAGATTATTCATAGCTTACTTCCCCATCTCTCTCTTTGGGGCTTGGGGAGGATGCAAATTGTTATTCTTCCTTCTGTCTACACCAGCTGGAGCAGTAATTGGACCATTTATTTGAGTTTGACTGCTATATATGTCATATGTTATGGTCTCAGTTCTGCTGCTTGGGGGACGCGTGGCGGCTTCAGCTGCTGCAATATCTTCTGCTGAGGAGAAGAAAGCATGGCTCCTTCTAGCTTGGGTAAGCACTGTAGCAGGAAATCTGTCCCTCGTAGGATCGGCTGCCAACCTGATTGTCTGTGAGCAGGCTCGTCGTGCCCATCATTTCGGCTACAACCTCTCATTTTGGAGTCACCTCAAGTTTGGATTTCCATCCACTATTGTCATCACAGCTATTGGTTTGACACTGATCAGGGGATGATGCCCTATAATCACTGTGATGACCTGACCTGTGTTGTAAATTTGGAGTCGTTAAATAAAAGAGGCGTGGAAGAGCCCCATGTCTCGCACAGTTTGTGTGGGGAGTCCGGTCTAAATTGTATAGAGCATTTTGCATTTGTTTTGTCAGTGTCTCTTCAGGTAGTGCCGCACGAAATTAGAGATAAGAAGCAGATTAGAAGGCCAAGGATGTGTCTTGCTAGTCGTTTGTCTGGTCCAAATGATTTGTTATCGCCCTCGACTTAAACGTGAAATCCTCTAATTAATCTACTTTTATTTGGAATCAGCATTTTCTTCCATACCGAAGCAAGGTATTCTGCCATTCCTGCAAAACTGAATTAGCCATGCTTGTTGTTTTAGCTTAAACGGTGACTTATTTCAGCAAGTTTATGCCATTCCTACGCGAATGCTTTTCTCCTCAAAAAGCTTGAATAAAGATTGGTTACCTCGATCGAGATAATCACCATCCACAAAAAGAAGAGCTGGAACTTCCTCCAAGATGCTGCAATGTGACACAAGACAGACGGTAAAGCATGAAAGGGGACGAGCTACCTTATGCTCCATTTCTGTTACTTTTTAAGTAGTACCGTATATACACAAATTTAGGTCTTGTATCTCTTTATTAGGCATCAGACCATAGTCCAGAAAATTTTGCAGCAGAGAACTGTGCTTAATTAGGAATTAAGGGATTGATTAACCACATACAACTGCCTACCTTTAGTATTTGCCACCCCTTTACTGCTTTTCTCTCGTGTCCTTTCTTTTCTCAGTCTTACTTGTACTGGGAAAGTGGAAAACGCGAATTTCTGTAATACCCCTTTTGGTGGTTTTGCAGGTGGCAAGACAACGGAAATACAAGAGTTTAGACTGAAGGTACCCCTTTTTCTTTTTCAAGATCCTGCTTCAAGTTACTGCTGCATTCGTAATTGCACAGAAAAAAATCTTGAGCTAGCTGGAATTATGTGCGAGGTGAACTAGAAAGTTTACTAAAAAGCTTATTAGTTGCAGCTCCATGAAAATTTGCCAACTTAGCCCGATTACACGCTTTAAAAGGGGTGTATTCTATTGCCGTTTGCTACCATCCAAAGGGCCATCAGCCCTGTTGGCGTACTTGCTTTTGCAGGGAATCGAGTCCAAAGAGGCAAACACGGTTAAGACACGTACAGATAGCTAGCAGCTATTCAGCAAGTAGTATTATGTTTTCAGCAGATAATAAAATGTCAGCTTCCCTCGATGAAAACATGCCACGTTTTTCGTGAAAGTCTTGGTTGTGGTGAGAAGCTTCTCTCAACATCAAGCAATGAGGAGATTAAAGTGGCAATGGGAATTGGGAATTAGGCATAAAGACATGCCAACCAAAGCATGTTTGGGGGCCTATGCAGTGGTGGGGAAAAAATGTTGGGAGGCTTCCAAAAGGTCTTTGTTTCTCTGTAGATTCATACATTCCCCCTGGTACGCTTTGGCCACATTTCCCATCCGCCAAAGCTGTACCATCATCTTTTGGTTGAGGTTGACCGAAGATTATACCCCGCTCTTAATACGATAATTAGTAGATAATAGTTGTCTTTTTTTGTGCGTTCCCTCTAAATCTTAGGAGTTACAACAATCTTGTAGTATTCAAGAAGAGTCTCAACTTCGAGCCTTATTGCCCTCTGCCCTCTTACCTAACTCTGGCACTTCTAGTCTAGGAAAAAGATAAAAGTTTTGCTTGCCTTGATCTCTAAATCTCAACTTCTCGTTCAATCACAGTTTAGAATTCACAAAATTATCTTGATCTCCATATCTCAACTTCTTGTACCGTCATGATTTAGAATTTTATAAAAATACGGGTTAAAAACAAAAAAGTCTCGTGTGATACATCTAATACACAGAAAAGTCCTCCGTGATTTCAAAACATATAAAATGACATCTCATGTTTTGAACTAAATTGTAAATTAACAGAATTCGTTAAACTTAACGAAAATGACGGTTTCGACGATTAAATTTATTGAATTCTATTAAGTTTACCGTTAAATTTACCGGATTCCGTTATATTTAACGAATTCTGTTAGTTTACAATTTAGTTCAAAATATGAGATATCGTTTTGCATGTTTTGAAATCACGAGGGACATTTCTGTGTATTAGATATACTACATGGAGTTTTTTTTTGTTTTTTTTGTTTTTAACCCTAAAAATACGCAAGTAAAACTCGGCATCTCATGGATTATGCCCCTAATGCTGCTTAATTTCTCCGATTCCATGCGCTATCAAAAACATCAATAGCTGTACCGATCAAAAGTAAAGAGGTACTAGTACTAGAATATATAATTTCAACGGTTCCTGTCTTGTTCCCGATGATTGAGATTTACTGGAACAGAAATCAGAAGAATATGGCGGAGTCAATAATGGGGCGGGGGCCCCATACAGCAGCTACATCCCCAACCGCCCCTTCCCCGCCAGTAGTGGTGGCTGATCTCTAAAGCTCAAAAGCTAGAGAGCCATTTGCAATTTGCTAAAAGCATTTTGATTCATCAGTAATAACATTTATTAATTAATATATTGTTGGCACTAGAGGCTGTCCCATGTCATTAACCATAATAAATAAAGTGCTGCTGTCATCTCTCGCTCCGTACCGTATTTTTTTGGGTTAATTATATTTACCTCCCCTGAGGTTTAATCATATTACCAATCAATCCCTATAATTTATCCAAATAACGGTCTCACCCTTTGAATGATCAAACATTTAACAAAAACCCCCTTAATGCCGAAAATGCCCTTATTGAGGCCATATTGCATTAAAAAAAGAACATATTTTTATTTTATTAACCCTGAAGCAATCCAAAAAAATAGAAAAAAGTTTTATTATTTTATAAAAACCATATCTTTGCTTCCATAAATAGTTTTGAATCAATAATTATTTTAAATCTTAAAAATGAATATTAAAAATTAGATAAATTGAAAGAAAAATAAAAAAAGAAGAAATTATTTTAATTCCTGAAGTTTGGTTCAAATTGAGGAAAACATGCCTTGTGCTCTCCGCAACATGTCTTGAACCACAAATTCGAACCATACTTGAGGATTTAAAATAATTGCTTCTTTTTTATTTTTCTTTCAATTTATCTAATTTTTAATATTTATTTTTAAGATTGAAAATAATTATTGATTCAAAACTATTTATGGAAGTAAAGATATGATTTTTATAAAATAATAAGCAAAAAATTTTCTATTTTTTTGGATTACTTGAAGGTTAATAAATAAAAATATATTCTTTTTTAATGCAATATGGCCTCAAAAAGAGCATTTTCGGCATTAAGGGGGTTTTTTTTAAATGTTTGATCATTCAAAGGGTGAAACCGTTATTTGGATAAATTATAGAGATTGATTGGTAATATAGTCAAACCTCAGGGGAGGTAAATTTAATTAACCCTATTTTTTCACTGGGAGGATCTGAAGAAAAAAAAAAATCTTCTCCCGTCATCTGTGTAAATCTGCTGTGTATACAAGCACGAACGTGTATGTACGTATCATAAAGCTAATAGTAAAGCTTTACGCGAATTTTTGATAGTGAAATTCTTTGTATGAAAATATTTTTGTTGCATCTTGTAATGATTTTTTTTTATTTTTCAATTATCACGCTACAAAAGTAGTACAGGGACAATTATTTTTTTATTTTTCAAATAATATTCTATTCCAACAATCACATCAAAGCTTTTTTGTGCCATTAAGTTTATTGCACAATTTCATCATTGAAAAAAAAAAAAAAAAGCAATTTCTTGAAACATTTCAACTTCTTATTCTATCTAGGGCCTCGCTTGAATAGTACATTTTTATAGATAAAATTTAAAATATTCTCTCGACGTATTTTTAACGACCTTTTTAACTCACATCCATCCATTATTTCATTACAGTATAAAATTCAAAGAAAAGCGTAAAATCCTTCTTAGAGACCGATCCCCGCGTGTTGTTAGGTACAAGTACAGCTTGTACAATCGAATTGTGGCCTATGAAAATCAACAAATATGGGAATCTGTCGATTAGTTCGTATTCCCAAAAGTAACGCAGTACTGCTAAGATGAGACAAAAAAGAGTATCAAATTAATCATCGTCCAGTTCAAGATTTTCCATTTACTTTGGCAGCTTTGCTGGGACAAATTAAAGGGGATTGGCAAATTCAGAGATGCCCTGAATATTTGATGATGTCATTGTACCGGACGAAACTAAGAACAATAATACAACAATTGCTTCTACCCTTTGGGCAATCAACAATTATGGTTTCTCCCAGTAAGCTCTTTTTAAAAGTTGCACTTGCGGGCGTGCCTCTTTAAGGTTAAATCCAACAAAAAACGTACTATGTCTTGTACACCTGCCAAGAAAAAAACGAAAAATTCAAAGAGATAGGAGTACAATCTGCATGGTGATTGGCGATTTAAATAGATTAAATCTTTAATACATACGCAGCATATGGAATATATATTCAAATTCGTCAATATATACACTGATAGTATAGAAAAAAAAATTTGACCTAATTTGGATTGCATTTGTTGTAAAAAAATTTTAGATTCCCGTAAGAAAGTTGCTTCTAACACCTTTCAATCAAATTTTTTTCACCTTACATGCATCACATTCGGGGGAAAAAAAAGTACTACAGTAACTTTTCTTCAAAATCCCTCAAAAAATACAATCCAAACAGGTTCTTAATCATTAAAAATATATTACTATCATCACTGCGTTTTTGTCGCTTTTTTTTTTATTTAAGAAAAACACCCCATAGTTAGCGCTGTTAAATGAATTGAGTTGTTCGCTAACTCGACTAGTTTTAGGTTTATTCGTGATTGATAATGACTCTTTCAAAATTTTATATGAGTCGGATTTGAACAAAACATTTTGGTTCGATAAATAATTGAACGAACATGGGCTTAATTGTCATTTCACAAAATTTAAGATTTGTATTATATTCTTACCGCTGTTCCTTAATTCTTAATATTCACAAACGGTTTGTTTATATTAAATGAGTCGAGTTTGACTCGGAGCTCGAATTCAAACTAGAATTTTATTTAACGAACATATTACGAACACAAATTTAGAACTCACGAATATTGTTGAACAAACACGAGAACCTTTTTCCGAGTAATTTAACGAATAGAATTCAATCATAATAAGATGTTCGACTCCTTTACGGATGTACCCATAATCATTATCCATGATATTCACCAACACAAAGGACGGACTCCTTCCCTTATTGCTAATTCCTCGTTACTGTTCGCTGGGGAGAACCAATGAGAAGGGGAAAGCACACCGTTGCAAAAATTATTAAAGGAATAAACAATTCTCTGTAATCATTTTACTTTTTCCATTTATACTACTGATAGATTTTATACACGTCTTTATGAATATATTCTTGAGCATGCCTTTTTATCAGCGCAAGTGCCCAGCAGCCCAAGCCAAGCTTTCCGGTTGAGTCCTAATCTAACAACTCGTAATAAATCAGTGGATTGTCCGTTACTCGTTACCCGTTACGTTGATTTGGGCTGTGCTACCAATCATGTTAACTTTCATCCGTCATCGGTCATCGAGGAGAAGACAGACGCTAAATTTGGCAGTGGAATAATGTAAAGACCGCAGGTCACTTGCTTTCTCGCATCTGCCCAATCCGTCTTTATCCGGTTTTTTTTTCTTTCACAAACGTTAGAGAAAACACACACGCCACTAAGCCCAAACGACGCAGAAGACATCGCTAAAATCAGCCCACAAGGACAGTCTAAGTGGGATCCACAAAGAAACTTCATTCAGCCAATTGGTGACAGGAAAAGCTATCCATGGAACTTAAACCCAGAGTAACTACCCCACAATTTTTCGATGTGGGACGGTGCACCCATCCCCCTCCCGCGCACACCCTGGCTAGAAGTCTGGTTTTTTTCTTTCACAAACGTCAGAGAAAACACACACACCACTAAGCTCAAACGACGTAGAAGACATCGCTAAAATCGGCCCACAAGGACAGTCTGGGTTTAAGGTCCATGGGGAGCCCTTCCTGTCACCAATTGGCTGGATGAGGTTTCTCTGTGGGGTTAGCATCTGATTATTTCTTATGCAAGTATATAAAAACATGCAATACTTTTTCAACTCTTATTCAATATAGCTAGTCTCCAAAAGAAATAAAAAACTAGATTAATACAGAACAATATATACATGTTCTAAAATTAACCTTTTTTCTCCTCATCTCTCCCCCATAAAGATTTTTTTTGGGGTTAATTCCATTTGCAGTGAAATAACTTCTTTATTTTACAATTTATAATCTAGAAATATATAGTATTGGATAAAACGTGTGGAACCCTCTAAATCATTCATTTTCTTTTTGGTTTCGTTTTGGGGATTTGTATTTAATTTATTTTCTATTGAAATCTTAAAAGCCATACCCGTAACCTTGTTTGGAAAGCCAGTTTTCACCAAAAAAATTTATACGCTTCCGTCAATATATTTTTCAATCATTTTTTTACTTCACATATATCAAATTATTATAGTATATTTGCTACCAAAATTTCAGAAAATTGCAATCCAAACAAATAAATTTCATGGAGAAATTTTGAGACACACGTATTACAAAAAAAAAAAAAAAAGGAGTCACAATAATATAGACTGAACAAATTAAAGATAGAAATGAAAGGAAATTATTTCTTCTTCTTCTCGTGCTTCTTACTGGACGGAAATAAACACGAGTGGAATCAGATTTAATTAATGCGGGCCGAGACAGAGACAGAGAGGGAGAGAGTAATTTTGCTTTTTGATTATTAAATCTATAATTCTTTTTGAATAGTAAATGCTAAAAATAAAATCCATCCATCCATCCATCGCTCAAAACAACAACTTCTCGTACTAGCTGTTACTGCCGAGTGCTGCCTCCCCAAAGTCCCATACACACGCAGACACACACACACACTAATACTACTACTACTACTACTACCGGGTGAGTAAGTAAGTAGCAGTAGCAGTAGATGTTGTTGCAACTTAGAAGTCGACAATTTTTTTAATTTTTTTTTTTTAAATTTGTGTCTTTCTCCATTTCATCTCACGCGATCTCCTCAAAGCTTCCCAAATTTGGATTCCTTTTGAATCAAACACATTCTTCACTCTCTAACACCCACACTCTCACGCAGTTCATGTATGCACATCTACGCCATTATCATCTGCGAACTAGGGTTCTTTTTTTCTTTTAACCTTTTTAGCAAGTTTTCGCAGTAGATTAGAAATTAAATCTCGGTGAGCGCCAGTCTGCTCAAGCTATGTGAAAGCGTACAACTTGGAGGTGAGTTTTTTATTATTATTATTATTATTATATTTTTGCTAATATTTTATCTCTTAACTTCAGTGGTATGATGCTTCACTGTTAAAATTTTTTTTCATTAATGATTTCGTAATGTATGGGTTAGATCTGTAATAAATTGCTTGATTTTGTGATGTCGAACTTAAAGCCGCTTGCCTAATTCATCAGGAAAAAGATCAGTGTAGCAGGATCATTTGGTTAGTTGTCTTCTCTTTTTTCTATTTTTTTTTCCTTTTTCTTGAGCGGAAAATTCCGAGAGAGATACCACCAAGAGTACAAGATGAAATTTCCGGAGAAAGTTAAAAAGGCTTCACGGATAAATAGTGAAGTATCATAACTTTCAATGAAGCTGGAATTTTGGGTACGTGTTCAATTTTGTTTTGGCTCAGAATGCCTATATTGTTCGATTAGTTTTGATGAAAAGGCCAAATATGAGGCAGAAGTGTGAAAATGTGCTGGGTATATGAGTAGTTCTTGAGCCAAGAAGAGGAGAGTGAAGCACTTCGAGATCCTGTTTTTCCAGTCTCTAAAATACTCTCAGGAAATTCTTCATTACTTTAGTTTTCTTCATTCTGGATTTACGTAGGCCTTTCTGATTTTTCTTGAAGCTTTGGAAAGGCGTGTTCCACATTCATTTTTGGGTTGACTTGGAAGAAGACTTGTTCCCAGGTCCCCCTAAAAGGAGAAAGACTTCCATTAGAGTCAAGTGGGCAGATGCATTCACGACTGATCCTGCACTAATCCTGAAGCATTGACTTTGCATGCCAAGTGAACAGCTAAACAGGTTGATAATTTTAGATGTTGGGACGATCATTCTGATCATGTTGCTTAGAACTTGTAGACAGTCAGCTACATCTACCGTGCTGGCTAGTTGATCTGTGGTTTGAATTTTAAGAATCTTGTTCCATGTGAAATAGAAAGGCAGGAAAATCATGAAAACCTTATTTAGCCAAAGAACTATAATGCTTTTCGTGAATCATACCAATTTGAAACTGCTAGTTGTTTCTTATAAGGGAGTTGGTTATTAATGAATCTATTGTGTATATTTGCTTTGGTTCTTAATGATTTTGTGACTATTTAGCATCAGAAAATATGCCTTCATGGTGGGGGAAGTCATCATCAAAAGAAGCAAAGAAAAAACCAACAAGAGAAAGCATTATTGACACATTACACCGGAAGCTTAAGTTTCCATCTGAAAGTAAATCTACTGGTAGATCAGGAGGGTCTAGAAGACGGAGCAGTGACACATTTTCTGAAAAAGGGTCTCAGTCCAGAGCGGAATCAAGGTCACCATCACCTTCAAAGCATGTATCAAGATGCCAGAGTTTTGCCGAAAGGCCACAAGCCCAACCACTTCCCCTACCAGGTCTGCGACCTGCAAGTGTACTGCGCACTGATTCAGGAATCAGTTCTTCAGGAAAGCCAAAAGTGGAAAAGAGCTCCAAGCCATCATCATTTCTTCCACTTCCAAGGCCTGCCTGCATACGGCATGTAACAGATTCTGCAGAGTTAGATGAAGAACTGGTCATTGCTTCTATTTCTAGTGAATGCTCCATTGAGAGTGATGATCAAACAGACTCACGCCAGCGTAGTCCTCTGGAATCTGACTATGAGCTTGGGAGCAGAACTGCCACTGGCAGCCCCTCAAGGTATGGTGTCACATTAAGTCTTTAGGTTAAATTTTGTCCATTGTTGGCACTAATAATCTCTATTCATTAGCTTGTTTAAATTTTGTTTATCCCTGACTTACAAAAATTTTTTACCCTGTTTTGAAGCATGATTATTAAGGATCAGTCTCCAGTAGCACTGAAAAGCCCAAGAGGATCACCTGGAGCAGTTGATCTTTTGACTCATAAAAGTGTGTTGTCTTCACCGCCTAAAAGAAGACCTCTTAGTAGTCATGTCCCCAATCTGCACGTTCCCTGTCATGGTGCCTTTTGCAGTGCTCCAGATAGTTCAATGTCAAGTCCTTCTAGAAGTCCAATGAGAGCTTTCGGTAATGACCAAGTTACAGGTTCTGGATTCTGGCTTGGAAAGCCCTATCCAGACCTTCCGTTACTTGGATCTGGCCACTGTTCAAGTCCGGGCTCAGGTCAGAATTCTGGACATAATTCAATGGGAGGTGATATGTCTGGGCAACTATTTTGGCAGCCTAGTAGGGGCAGCCCTGAGTACTCTCCAATTCCTAGTCCCAGAAAGACAAGTCCTGGTCCTAGTTCCAGAATTCATAGTGGAGCCGTCACCCCAATTCATCCAAGAGCTGGAGGGGGAGCACATGAATCACAGACAAACAGGAGCGATGATGGGAAACAACAAAGTCACCGTTTGCCACTTCCTCCTGTGACAATTTCCAACTCTTCACCTTTTTCTCATTCAAATTCAGCTGCAACATCTCCCTCAGTACCACGTAGTCCAGGCCGAGCAGAAAATCTTGCAAGCCCTGGCTCACGCTGGAAAAAAGGAAAGTTGTTGGGGAGAGGCACTTTTGGACACGTTTATGTTGGTTTTAACAGGTAAAGAGATCAATTCTTTCTCTTTTTTTTCTCTGTTGCACTTGTTCTTATGTGGCGCAATGGGTGAATATTTGCTGTTGTTTCATTTAAAGTTCTGACTACTAACAGGGCGTTTGGTTTAAGGGTATGGGAATCAAGGATTTGAATCAAGTCCTTTGTTAGTGTTTGGATTATAGGTATCGGATTCAAGATTTTGGAATGAATGCTAAGAAAATGGTGACTCTCAATTCCTGACCAAATTGGGGGGTTTTGTGAAATCCCACGTCTGATTCCAAAGCTAATAAATAATAATATTTTTTATTTCATCTCACGCACTGCTTTACCATCTCTCTTCTATTTTCATCGCATTCTCCGATTTGCTTCCTTCCCCATATCAGACCCCCCAATCCCTTCCCTCTATCCCACTTATTGCAATCTTCTAATTTCTCTCCTACCGGTGTAGCAGGCCTCTTTTTTCCAATTTTCCATAGCTGACGACGGCTTTTGAAATGTTAAGAGTAATTTTTGTTGGCCAAAGAATCTCATCTTGATTGGTTTTTCAAATTAAGACAAAATTGTTCTCTTTTCTAGTTATAATCTCCATATAACAGTTGTTGTTCATTTTTTTTGGGGGTTGTATGGCTGCAATGGAGGAGTTAGGTGGTGGAGTGAGGGGCTGCAAAACCCCACTCTCTCTCTCTCTCTCTCTCTCTCTCTCTCTTTTAAGTTGTTTAGAAACTAGATCTAATGATCTTCAAGTTACAAGTGGGGTTTACGAAAACAGATTTTCTGATCTTGAAGTCCAAGAAAAATACCAGTTGATCCATCAATGGTCACTATGAAGTTCTGCAATTCGGTTAAGAAGGATGCCCTGCAATTCGATTAAGAACAAAAAGGAGAGAACAAAAGAAATTTAAAAGAAAAGAAATTAAAAAATGATAAAATATTCAAATTTTAATGTAATATCCATTCCTGACAAATATCTACCAAACGCTTGTTATTGCATTGATACCTTTGACCAAAATCCAATCGAAACAAATACTAATTTTTTGTATATGATTCCAATTACAATTCCGATTCCTAAACTTGAACCAAGCGGCTCCTAAGTATTTGTACTGAGAATTTCTTGGTCATTTTGGACTATGTTGACTGCACTTTATTTTGTAGTTGCAGTTGCATGTTTATACCTTACAATTGTTCATTTGAATTGATTTTCATTGATTAATCTGTTGCATGTTTCAACTTTACCATCTGTTCAGTGAAAGTGGTGAAATGTGTGCAATGAAGGAGGTCACATTGTTCTCAGATGATGCAAAGTCCAAGGAAAGTGCAAAGCAATTGGGACAAGTAAGTTCATATGCTGGTATAGATGTGGAAAGATAAATTCTGTATTAAACATGCTTGAGATCTGTTGCATTGTGTTTATCTGGTATATATGTCTAACATTGATTCTTCTTCAATCTTTTGGAAAAAATGCAGGAGATTATTATGCTGAGCCGTCTGAGGCATTCAAATATTGTACAGTATTATGGGTCTGAAACGGTCAGTGCTGTTCCTGCAGTTTCTTGTTGACACCTGATGCATACAACTTTATAAATTCTTTTACACGTCTCCATTGGGCACAATGTAATCTGATTGTAACAATGTCGAATGGTTAATTCTTCTCAGAAGTATGTGATATTTAGGATTTTCATCTGATAAATTTGTCAATAGCTTTGAAGTTGTAATGTTATAAATGACAAATTAGTTCTGACTTGGTGCTTTGTGTATCCTCTGGCAGTATTTAGTCTGTCATGAAGTCAAATTTACAGCTTCTTTTTCCTTGACCAGGTTGGTGATAAGCTATATATATATTTGGAATATGTATCTGGTGGTTCCATCTTCAAGCTTTTACAAGAATATGGACAATTTGGAGAATCAGCTATACGCAGTTACACTCAACAAATTTTGTCTGGTCTTGCATATTTACATACAAAAAATACTGTCCACAGGTAAGAGTTATTGACTTCATTTGTATCAGATTCTGAAATAGCAAGTCTGAATGGCCTGATCTTTTAGTTAATGCTGCTGCATTTGATTGGCAGAGATATTAAAGGGGCAAATATCCTTGTGGACCCGAATGGTCGTGTTAAGTTGGCAGACTTTGGTATGGCAAAGCATGTAAGTCTAGCCACGAGCGCTCTTTCATTTTTATGAGATCTATTAAAAAGCACTTGACCCTAAAGGATGACACGCTACTAGAAAATGCCAGCTATGGTGAATATAGTATTGTTTTTTTTTTTTTTTCATTTCTGGATACAAAGAAGAAGATTGGTACCATGGTTCACATTTCAAGCTACAAGCATAGTAGTTAAGAACGACAAAAGTGCAATGAGGTGCAGGTCTTGCAAAATTTTTTTTTAAAAGCAGAGCCAGGGCGGATAATGAAGTATGGCCAAAGCGTAAAATGCGCAAGCTGCAACAAGATTGCAATCATCTTGCTTCCTGCCCTTCTCCTCACTTCCCTCCCCCTAACGCTCTCAATTCTCATGTTTCTCTGGAACCTTGGTCCTCCTCTAGTTCTTGCATCTTCCCTTTTCTTGGCCAGATCGCTGTATTAATTGAGATTATTTTTTCCCCTCCAGTTAGTTTTTTCCTTGATAAAATGAAATTGATGAATCGGATTTTCTGTTTGCTGAATCTTCATCAATTCATTATTTATTTGGGAAACCTGCCATTCAGTTAAAGCTATAATTAGCCATGGGTGAGAGAGTAATCTGTTGCAAAGCATGGACACACTTGAGAAAACTGATACTCAAATTCAAAATTTTACCTCCGTATGTTGTATGCTGAAGCTGAAATTTTTTTTTTTTTAATAACTAAGAATATTATGACACACCTTAGTGTGCTTTGTGCCTTTAACTACATTTCCCTCTCATTATTTTAATTCTGCAATTGAAGACTTTGATAATCAATTTATTTGGTAGCTGTAATTAACTACAGCCCTTTAAAAATCTTCCACTGTGCAGATTACAGGGCAATCATGTCCATTATCTTTTAAGGGAAGCCCATACTGGATGGCACCTGAGGTCAGTAGTCAGTAGTTTCTCATGTTGCATCTTAAGCTCATGATCATGGCTCCATTGCTAGTTCTCCGATCCTAAATTTTCTATTCAGCTGCTCATTCAGGTTATAAAAAATTCGAATGGTTGTAATCTTGCTGTTGACATCTGGAGTCTTGGATGTACTGTCTTGGAAATGGCTACTGCTAAGCCACCTTGGAGCCAGTATGAAGGGGTCAGTAATTTGGTTACTCAGATTGCTGAATATATGATGTATATCTTCCATAAATACTAATGCTATCATGAAAAAGAGCATATCTAGTATATACGAAGGTTTAGCATGCTTTAAACTTGAAAATCCAGTTCAGCTTTTGTGCATCTTTTTATGGATGTTTTTCTCATTCTGGTTTAAAGGTTGCTGCCATGTTCAAAATTGGGAATAGTAAAGAACTTCCTGCAATTCCTGATGACCTCTCAGAGGAAGGAAAGGACTTTGTGAGGCAGTGTTTGCAGCGGAATCCACTTCATCGTCCTACAGCTGCTCAGCTTTTGGATCACCCATTTGTGAAAAATGCTGCTCCTTTGGATAAACCTCTTGCATCTACTGATCCAACATCTGTGGTTGCCAATGGTGCAAAGTCTCCGGTATTATTTTTATTATCCTAGTCCTCTTAGTTATACAAGTTTATGTAAATGCTCTACTTTTTTGCCATCTGTAACAGTTTCGTGCTTTCTCTGTGGCTAATTATCATCTTCAGGGGATTGAACATGGTAGAAATCTCCCAACATCAGAATCAGAAAGGCTTGCTATACACTCTTCCAGAGTATCAAAATCCAATTTCCATTCCAGGTCCATCCTTGTCCATCATCTTCCCCCCCCCCCCCCCCCCCCCCAAACACCACAAAAAAAAAAGAGTAAAAACCAAAAAAAAGTGAAAGCATAGAAGTTAATAGTAGTTTTTTAAGGAATAACTACAATAGGTTCAATCTTACGCGGCTTTATCTGTAGCTTTAGCTGATGGAAATAGGTTAATAGTAAATAGTAGTTTTTTAGGAATAACTGCAATAGGTTCAATCTTACGTGGCTTTTATCTGTAGCTTTCACTGATGGAAATTTTCATTTCCAGTGACATCCACATCCAAAGGAATATATCTTGCCCAGTCTCTCCAATTGGAAGCCCTCTGTTACATCCAAGGTCACCTCCACACCTAAATGGGAGGATGTCTCCTTCACCTATATCAAGCCCTCGGACCACATCGGGCTCATCAACACCACTATCAGGGGGTGCTGGTGCTGTCCCTTTTCAACATCTTAATCAGTCAACGTACCTGCAAGAAGGTTTTGGAAGTGTTCCTAAGACTCCACAAAGTCCCTACATCAATGGCCCCTTGTATTGGGATTCTGATATGTTTCGGGGAATGCAGGCTGGATCTGCTTTTCGGGATCTTACATCTAGTGAAAATGATGCTCTGTCAAAGCAGTTTGGAAGGCCTGTTTTTGGAGAACTTCATGATGGACAGTCAGTATTAGCAGATCGTGTGTCTCAGCAGTTGTTAGGGGATCCAGTGAAATTGAATCCATCTTTGGATCTTAACTCACGATCCCGGTTGACCGGCCGCACAAATGGAGTATAACTTGATTTTCTTTTCGAGGCATTTCTCTTCGGGATGCTTACCCAACTGTCACTAAGTTCAGAGAATTGCTTACAGTTCGTAAGGACATTTGAATTGGCATAATAAGGACCTTTGACCACAAAATAAGGCGACATCTTCAGAAGATCTGGTGGCTTGACGAGGAATCAATTTTGCTTGACTGAAAGCTTGTCCTTCGTCCATAAAATAGCTCAGCGGAAAACAGAAATGACCTGAACAACATGCACTTTTAGAATTGACCCTCTATCCCAGCAAAAGGAAGATTCACTGTGGCTAATGGTACCACTTTACCTTGGATCGGCCTGTACAAAGTTGAGAGTGCTTATAATTTACACACTTCATTGACTAAGGTCTGATTGATAGGGTGATTGCTCAGCGAACTTGGATTGGGTGATTCAATGTATAGCTGGCTGATCCTTCGCTATAAAATTTGTGGTAGCAGAATTGTACATTCATTAACGAGATAGAAGAGAAGAAATGGTAAGCCTGGACAAGAAGTAGCTCTAGGACTGCATTTTTCTTGAGGGTCTGCAACTGCTGTACATAATATGGGAAAACCCAGACTTTTGTTCGGATTTTGCCATTGAAACAGTCAAGATTGCAGCAAATCTTTTCTCATGTGTCCGCAAGGCCAACACGCATTTAGGCTCTGGCATGTGGTTCTATTTATCAAGACAACATCTGCTAAAAAATTTGAGTAGTTGCTGATGAGAAGCTAATTTATACGTGCCTTCCGCTTTCCCTGTGTTTACAAACTGAAAAATTGTAGTGTCTCCTGTTTTAAAGGGTGTTTAACAAAGGCTCTCTCTTTTGTGCGTTTTCTGTCTGACCCTTTCGGCAGTGGCGCTTCATAACCAGCTCTAATATGTATATTGCCGCCTAAGAAGAGAAAAACAGTTCTAATAACCAGCTCTAATATGCAGCTCTAACATGCAGAGGGCTTCGACCCGAGGCTGTGACATTAGGAAAGGGGATGAGAGATCTGAAGCAAAGTGATCTATCTATCTAATAATTATAGGATCGGGTCTGTCAGAATCTCTAAAATAAGGGATAATTTCAGAAACACCTCTGACAATTTCACTCAGCTCCCCCTAATTTTAGAAAATCACACTGACCTCCCTTACTTTTACTGTTTAAGTAACAGTATAGACCCATGAGGTTAGAATTATACTTAAGTATGATAAAATACCCTTATGCAATATCATACATCAAAAGAAGTGAAAAAAAAAGGTTTAGCGATCAATTTAACCAAAAAAAAAAAAGTAACAAACACTTTCATCCACATTTACTATGCTTTCACGATAATTATAAACCCAAAACCTCATCAACCTGTACAAGCAAACTCCAACTTAATCCCCAAATCCTATCAATTTGGGCAGCATCAAAATCCCAAACTCTACCCGAATCACTTTCTCTACAAATCGACCATAATCATCACCACCAACTAAAATACCTTCAAAAAGCTTCCCGCCCCAAATTAACACCATATTTTATCTATTGACTAATCTCACACCTCAACTTATGAACCCAACACCTATTGCTTATCATCTTCCTTGAATAAAAAAGAACCTGACCAATCACTGTTGATGCCCATGCCAAGAGCAACCCCGTATTCTAATGGCGTTAGGAACAGAGAAACTAATCTTTATAACAAACCACCACTAATACTTGTAAATGAAATAAAAATGAAACCAAATAAAGATATTAGATTGTAGTATGTAACAGACATAATAGCATAATCCAAATTCGTCCTTTTTTGTCTTCCAACCATAGCCCATTAATTTCATTTTTTCCCTCTATCACAACCATCTTCATCTTCTCCATCTAATTTGACCATGAAATTTTCATTTGCTCCCTCAATTTGTAATTTTGAAAATTTTGATTCTTTAATGTATGCAAATTATAATACGAGAAGAAATAAACAAGAGGCATTAATAGTTAAGTACCACAAAAAGAGAGAAGTAGACAAAAAATAAACACTTTAAGTAGGTTTGCATGGCAGTGTAGTTAATGGGTGGAAGAGACTCTGTGGTTATAACCAAGAAGGAGAGAATCATAATAAGTAGAAAAAAATTTGGGAAAGAGAAAAGAAACTGTTATTAATTAAAATAGGATTGAAAACGATGACGAATTGTTGCAAGTTTTTATTTTTTTCTTTTACTTTTGGTTTGGTTTTTGTGTCCCACTTATGTGGTAAATTATCTATTAAATAAAGGGTATTGTAGTCATTTTGTTGAATCGAAGGAGGTCAGTGTAATTTTCTAAAATTGGAGGGATCCGAGTGAAATTGTCAAAAACCTCAAGGAGGTTTCCGAAATTATTCCCTACAATAATTAGAAACGAGGGGTTACAAACACATGCACCGAACCTGTTTCATTGCCAAGTGTACTAATTAAATTGCCATCCTTAACTACCGGTTTCCCCAATCTCTCTTTAGACTCAAGATCTAAGGGTCAGACTGGTGAATCAAAGTTGAGCTGAAATCCCACAATCTCTTTGCCAATTCAATATCCTTAGCTTGTAAGCTCGGTTCAGCTACGTTACTGTCTGAGAAGTATGTGCCAGTTACACCTTTAACATGTGGGTGCAAAGCCACATAGCATGTTGTTGCAGCTCCCTGCAATCAAGTTCCCCTGACCTTAGTACATACACGGAGCAAGAAGGCACTTACGGCATGGAACACTTACCTAAATCTATTCTTCTTTTCCTAATTATGGTTCACATTCTGAGGCAGAAAAATTTTGTACACAAGCACAAGTCCAAGATTTAAATGAGACCCTTTACTATTAAGCAACTATTAATGTGGCTGCCATAATTGTTGGGAACAAGATTCTGAGCTGGTTTTGAATTTGTTCGAGTTTTGCCTGATTCAGTACCTTAAAAAGAATTGAAGGATCTGCACCTGAGTTTTTCTTTCATTTTTTTTAATACCCTTGTATGCAAGGTCGAAACACCCTAATTTACATTGTCGTATATAAATTTAGAAACTGGCAAACTGTCTTTGACTGACTTAATGTTCACAGCCAGAAGCATGAACAGAAAACACATACAGTGCACAAAAATGTACAATGGCATCTACCTGCTGGACGGTTTTCAAGATGTGCTTGCCTAGGACATCAATAATGCCTGCATTAAACACAAAAACTACTGCATTTAGTCAAATTTCAGGCAGCCAGGTTGGTCCTGTACAAGAAACCTGATAAATAATATCAAACACCATTGAAGAGTCAAAAGAAATTACCTGTAACAATGCTGAAATGACGGAAAAGATTGGTGGCGATTGCCCCTGGATGAAGAGAATTTGCACTTATCTCAATCCCATCTTCCTATTTACAGATATTACCTTAGATCGTTAAGCTTGAAATGGAACATATTTTAGGTATTTTTTCTTATATATATATATATATATATATTGCCAGGGGAGGACAGAGAGAGAGAGAGAGAGCTGGCTTTCATGATATACTTCTTGTATTCCACATTATGCTAGCTAGCTATTCTTCTAGCTTCATCAGACAAATTACCAATGCACTCTTCTGTGTCCAAGTCAACCAGATTGGTTAAAAATGAAAAGATGGACTATATCTGATGCTTGATGAATGTCATTTAGGAGTTTCAAACATGAAGTACACAACTTCCAAACTACAATGAAGTCGCATACCTTCAGACGCCTTGACAGTTCATTAGCATGCAATACATTGGCAAGTTTTGACTGACCATATGCCAATAGACTCTTGTACCTGCGCAAGTATTTGCACACAAGAGAAACCTGAGCTCTGGACATTGAAATTACCTCATGATATTATCAACACATATTCATGAATACAAAACATGGATTTAGCCTCAAACTTCACCAGCAACCATTTTAAAACATTTTCTAAAAAGCCTGCCATTTGAAATACTTGAGTGATTGTGGGGACTGCATTTTCTTTCAGAGGCGGGGATCATTTTCCTTCAAAACTTATTCACTTTTTGCAAGTGTAAACATTTGTTTCCCACATTTTCTGGATAGCACAACAGCTGCAAACAAGCAGCAATAGCATCTGAGTTGTGCAGTCCTTTGACCAATGTGCTCATCTATTAGAAATTATAATCTTAAAATTTATCGAATTCCTAAGATGTTACTGGTCTCTGGCATCAGTTTATGACAACTTCATGAAACAATCAGATGATGCACAGTATGTGGCAGAACAAATATCTGACTTCGAAATAAAATATTCAGCTATTTGTAAGGGACAGTATAGTCTACCCAGATTCATCATTGATTCTGTCAAAGCGGATCCCTTCAGGATAAGAGAATTTGTGCCGTCGAGATGAGACATTGACAATCCTTCCTTCTCTGCCACTTTCATGAACTGTCTTTTTCATGGTTTCCAGCAATAAGTTTGTCAAAAGAAAATGACCTGTAAGAATATAGATTTTGTGAAGTGAATCTAACTAAACTCGTGGGCGCTATGTATTACTACAGCTATTCAGACAAATGAAACTTGTATTATGAATGGAAAAATGCTTGGACACGGTGCTGTTTACCTTAAAAGAGAACATGAGAAACTTAGTACCTTACCCATACACCTTACCTATATGGTTTGTTGCAAATTGTAGCTCTATGTTATCTTTCGATAAGATGAATGGTGTTGCCATGACTCCTGCATTGTTACTAGCAGAAAAAGAAAAAGGGCTGTTTATTGCGTGCACATTTCAAAATCTCTATACTCAGTCTCATCTAAGAAAACTCAGAAATTACACTATAGAATATAGACTTCATCATGCTTAAAGACAGTTAGGCTCTATACACTTGTATTGACATATATATGCAACAAAAATGTCTTCACATGTTGAGATAGAGGAAGAGATGAGGAGGGGAGAGGAAAGGAGAAGAAAAGGAATTTGACCAAGTTGATTATCTAGACTATCTAACTTCACAACTAAAAAGCTTGATCAGTTATCACTCTGGCCTTTGGGTTCAGCAAATTCTCACCTTGGAATTTATAGATGCATGTTCAAGTGGAAAAAACATCATTATACACTTAACAAGCACAGTAGGTATGAACTATGAAGTCTGAGAGAAGTTGTAGTTTAGATCTTAGGCATTTGAATATCGT